TTTGCTGAATCATCATTATATTAACAAAAAAAACATAGAGTAATTAAAATTCGAATAGATTTAAAAAGTATTACAAGCACGACAACAAAATACATTATTTTTTCACAAAATTTATTAATTTGTATGAAAATAATTAAACAAATGCTTGATGTTTATAAAGATTGTTTGTTTTACATATATTTAAAACTGTTTATTTTGTGTTTGAAATAATAAAAAATGTGTTTAACTTATTATATAAAATGTTATATTTTACTATAAGTTGATTTTGTGAAAAGTTATCAACAATTATATATGGTTTTTATTCAACCCAAACACAAAATAAAATTACAATTTTTAACACATCAATATTCAGACCTTTAAAATACAACATAACTTTAATCTTAAATTAATTCATCAATACACACAACTCAATACATGTTAAAATATACGTAAATATATAAACTTGGTTTTTACATTACATGTAAAAATGTTTAAAAAAACACAATATTGTTGTCTGCTAAATAATAGTCTGATTTGAACAAAATGTAATCTAATTGAATTTGTAGAAAGTAGATAATGGCGGTAAAAACAAAGAAGTATACAATCAGCTGAAATAACAAAACTTCAATTCTTGGTGTATTGTTTGTTAAATAGACAACATTTCAACTAGACTTTGGTTTCAATAATCCAAAACAAAGAATACACGATAAATTATATAACATATCATTATAATAAAAAGCTTTGAAAAAATATAAAAAAATATTAACTGTAAATAAATAAAAAACACTTTTATCAATTTACAATATAAAGTGTTTATTTTTATTTTTGTTATAATTGTTTTCTTGTTATAAATTTTGTATATATTAGATTTTGAATTTAATATTATTATTGTAATAGGTTGTGGTCATCTCAATAAAATTTTAATCTGACTTTTCCATTGAACCGTGACTTATTTCTGTAAGGATCAAGCAAAAAAGTAAACCTATGTTCGTCTTAACTTCAACAAAAAATTCACTTTTTTACTATAATTTATAACAATTTACCATAAAAATTTACTAGAGCCTTCGTTCCAAGGTGTCTAGCTTTTTTTGAAAAAAATTAAAGAAAAAAAATTACATTTACATTACAATTGACAAAGATTTTTATTTTTTTTACAAATTTAATTTTATTGTACTTAAAAGGTTAAAAAAACCCGATAATATTTATTTAATTAATTTTGGATGTTTTTATGATTGCAATTTTATTAATAAAGTAACAATACCCCCAAGTGTTAGATATATAAATTCTTATTCGTTTTTCAAATGTCACTATTTATAAAGTGTTGTTATACCAGAAAGAGTCTCATATCTTAGTGCATATTGTTTCAGTGGATGCAACTGTTTAAATAATGTTGTTATCTCATCGAATGTTACATCAATTGATAGTTTCTGTTTTTTTCAAATGAGCGAATTTGAGTTATTTCACCATACCATCAAATGTCCAAACAATTGGTGAACAGTGTTTTGATAAATGTATCAATTTGAGAAATGTTACTCTACCGTCAAACTTGTATCAATTGAAAAGAAAGGGTTTTACAAGTGCAGCTCGATAGAATCTTTAAACATCCCATTGGGTGTTACTGAATTAGGTCAATATTGTTTTTATAAATGTAAAGGTCTTAGAAGTGTGACAATACTATCGAGTCTTACAATTATTAATAATTATTGTTTTCAATATTGTTTTAAATTACATGATATTATTATTCCAGCAAATTTCATTGGGTGAATCTTGTTTTGAATGTTGTAATAGTTTAAGTGAAATTGATATATCATTAAGTGTAAAATTTATTGGTAATGAATGAATTGATTCACACACATTAGTAAACAAAAAATGATTCAACATAATTGAGTCTTTTCACACCTGGTTTTATTACAAAACAATTAAAAAATATAATATTTTCAATTTAATCAAAAAACAATAATAACTATTTTATTG